AGTGAATCACTTAAGTTCACGTGCGAGAGCGCCCTCTGACGGCGTCTAACGGCTGTCGGACCAGCTGACAGCGCCACGTCGGCAAAAACCAGGCCCCACTTGTCATAAATCCACTTATCGGTGTCCGATCCGCCGATCAGTGGTATTTGCAAATTGTTTACGGGAGAGTTGGTGTTTTTTGCCAAGAAACTGTAACGTAGTGATTTCTGCTAACCTAGCCCTCAAACTGGTGGTTTTCTGCAATTTACTCTTGTTCATGCGCATCAACTTATTGAATAAACTTTGAACATTTTTGCATAATGGTTGACCGTATTGAGATACACATTTCGCCAAAATATGTGTTGAACATTTGTGAAATGCACACTAAACAATATTTAATTACATAGTGAATATGTTTTTAATACAAAGCTAACATTTTTAAATGCATGTTCAACATTTTTCTAAAATGGCATGAATATTATTTTGGAAACCGTCCAAACATTTGTTATGTGTAAGAACATGTTATTAAAATGGCATCAACAAATATTTTTGTATTATGCACATTTTTATAAAATTGTGAGATTTCTTTTAAAAACATGAAAATGTATTTTAAACACATGAATATTTTTAAAATTCATTAACGATTGGTTGAAATGGTACGCACATTTTTCCAAAATAGATAAAATTTAAAATTTTAATGAAAATTCTAAAATAAAGACATGAGAAAAAGTATAAACATGTAAACATATTTTGAATGTCATGGACATTTTTCTGAATGATATGAGAAAACTTTAAATTGTGCGACTAAATATTTTACATCATGAATACTTTTATAAGGTGAGGTGAACTTTTAAAAATATTAACCAAATTAATTTATGAAATATATAGATTCAGTATATTTTAAAATTCTAAGCAAAAGGAAAATAAGTACAAAACCAATCTTTACCTACTAATAAAGCACAGATTGCTTCTGTCGGGTTCATCATTGCAGTGTTTTTGCACAAAAAAACCCTGTGCTTTTAAGTAATTAACCCGCACTCCAGATTTTGGGTTATCACCTAGCTTCTTCTATCGCTCATACGGGCCTGGTTGCGCCTGTGCCCATGGTAAATTTTATGTAGAATCTACGCACCACTAATCAAGGTACTCTGGAATGGTACCACCTCGCTTCATTGAATGAATTATTGCCGATTTAAATACAATCGCAAGTTTATATCAACCTGCAGCGTGCACACACGAGGAGGCACACAAAAGGGAAACGGGGCGGGCTAGCTGGTGCTGGTACGGACCAGATGGGGGATCACAGAGAGAAGAGAAAAGAGGGAGCGGGAGAGAGGGCGGCGGTGGCGTACAAGGGAGTATTGGAGAAGGAAAAAGTCCAAAATAAACCTTGAAGTTGTAGACGAAAGTCTTGAATTCCGGAAATTGGCACTCTGAACTTGTAATCCCGCCCTATTTTGGACCCTAGACCTGTTTGGCACGCTGGGAAGAATACAATCCCGGCCGGGATTCCAGCTACTCTCACGGACTAGAATTTGGGCCAGCCCACTATAACACAACAAGAATTCACGAGGTTTAAAAAATGTTCGCATATTTCTAAAATTGTTCAAAAGTTAAAAATGTTTCTGTTTTCTATTTTTCGCAGAAATTCAATTCGTTTTGTGTTTTTAAAAACTGTTTGGAATTTCGTGTTTCGCACAAAATCAACTCTATTAGCATTTTAAAAAACTGTTCGCGATTTAAAAAAACCACATTTATCAAAAAATGTTCAGAATTCAAACAGTTTTTCACATCCTATGAAAAATATTTCGTATTTTCAAATTTGTGTCACGTTTTTAATACTGTTTTTGGAACTTTGTAAATTCTTTCATAAATAATGTATTTAAAAAATATTTCGGATTGTTGGCAGTGCACTCCACTGGGCCAGCCCACCAGACATGAAGCGAGTTTTTTTTCCTTAACACGCGACGTAAAAAATTCTTTCTTTCTTTTTCTTAATGGGGGACGTAATAATTCCAAAACAAAAAAACATGTTGTGGACTCGAACTTGGGACCTGGTAGCCACTACACCAGACGACAATGACTGACGTAGCAGAGGCCCGAAATATTTAATCAGAAACCAAAGCGCCGAACATTGTAAAGATTATTGAAAACCTATTTATTTATGAAATCTTTGAACATTTTATAAAGTGTGAGACCTTTTTGAAAATTTCGAATACTTTTAAAAAACCAACAACTTTGAAAAAGCGAACACCTCTGTAAACATTTTTTGAAACCTGAACAAATTTTTAAAGTGCAAATGCTTTTTGAAACATAATTTTTTTTCTGCAACCTGAACAAAATATTAAAGTGCGGACACGTTTTGATACATAAACATTTTCTGAAACCTGAAAATATTTTGTGACATCTAAAAAATATCACAAGTTTTAAAAAATGTATGGGCCAATCCAAATGTTTATACATTGTATAATAATATTTGTTTGATTCAAAAAATGTTTTATAGATTAAAACTGTAACATTTAAAGAATGATCACGAGTTCCAAAAAATGTGTTTGTGACATTTTTAAAAGAATGTGTTTACAATGTAAAAAAATGTTTGCGTGATGTAAAAAAATGTGTCAAAACCTTAACAGAATATATGTGGCATGTCCTTGAAAAAAGTGTATGCATATTTAAAAATGTTGAACCACGTAAAAGAGTGCTGTGTAGTTTTATAAAATGTTTATCATCATTAATAAAATGTAAAACCTGTAGTTGAAAAAATATTACCATGTATTCAAAAGTTTTGAAAACATGTAATTTATAAATGTACATAATATATTTGAAAATATCAAAAGTTTATCCAAAAATAATTAATGTGTGCATTAAAAATGTACATTGGGTACTGAGAAAAATTAGACATGTGTAAAAATGAAAAAAGAAATGAAAACGCAAAAGGAAGAAACTAAGAAAAAACCAGATTAGTGCGCGCGCGCGAGCAATTGCGCTACTGGGCCGGCCCAATTCACTAAATCCCGGCCATGTTCTGTAAGGTTTAAAATAGACCGGGATTAGAGAGTTTGGTGTGCTGATTTCAGGGATTAAGAGTTTGGGGTTTGATTTAGCTTTCGCCTACAAATTGAAGGTTTGTTTTGGACTTTTTCCATTGGAGAATGAAAAAAAATAAGGAAGTGCCCTCACGGAAGCGCACAAGGGAGTATTGGAGAATGAAAAAAAATAAGGAAGTGTCCTCACGACGGCGCACAAGGGAGTACTATTTTTTAGTAGAACACAAGTAGTACTAGAGCGGGGGTAGGAAGATGAGTTCATGGGTCTATCTGTGTACGTTAACTAATTTGTTTGGGCAAAGCTCAGATAATAAAAAAAAATCTTCCCATCAAAACAACCAACTATCTGTAAAATTACCAAACAAAAATGCCCAAAGCTTTAACACATAAAAATAGTTTTAAAATATTTCAAAAAATATGTTCATATTTTTTGAAAACACTTTAAAATTCCCGAAAAAACACTTTTTACTGTTAATTTATAGAGAAATTTTTCAATTTTCATAAAAATGTTAACTATTCATCAAAAGGTGTTACATTTTTAATGTATACATTAGAAGCTAACGTACAAAAAAGCAAACGGAACGAAAGAAGAGTGCGCTACTGGACCGTCCCACTGCCTCCTCGCCTAAACCGAGCCAACTTTTTGTGTCGCTAGAAGCGAGATATACGCGGCTGTTTTCTTTATGTGTGACTTCGAGCACACGATGGACGACACGAAAGTACCCAAAATAACACGACAGGACGAACAGTACAAGATTATCTCTTATTCTCCTTTTTAGTATTATTTTATTATCTCCGCCCAACTTAGTTGTTTTAAATTTGTTAGATACGGATGTATCATACATCTATATTCAAACAAATATTGAGTCAACTAATTAGGCACGGAAGGAGTATTATTATTCTATATACTCCCTCCGTAAACTAATATAAGAGCGTTTAGATCACTACTTTAGTTATCTAAACACTCTTATATTAGTTTACAGAGGGAGTACATAAGAAGTTGATCCTCATTATTCTATTTATCTTAATATGCACGCATGCCACCTCATCAAAGGTCCACCACTACATACATGAGGAAAAGTTTTTCATTATTAATTGATCTCATGCATACCTTTTACCACATCACACATGTCACCTTATCAAAGGTCCACTCAAAATGCATGATTTTTTTTCATTACGTTATGCCACTTATATTAAAAAAATCTAACTACACAATAATCAAATACAATATATAATATTTATTTTTAGCTTTAATTTAACTATGAAAGTTTCATACAATTAAATTACTAAAATATAGTGTAATCGGTTCCCACGGCAACGCGCAGGGTATTCTCTAGTATTCTTAATGTGCCGTCGCCAACGCACAACTGGAGTAAACCTTTTCTTATTCTATATGCACGTTATTATGTCCAATAGTACAAAATCACGAACACCGTCGCCGTTAATTCGAAGCTGGCAGCAGAGCGCGTTCGCAAGTGTAAAGTGTTCATCCATGTTCCCACCAAGCCACGCATGAGGATAAACAATATGGGGTGGCAGATTTCACACGACGATTCCCCTCGTATATAAGCCAACCGTCCAAGCACAAACTCAGCACCAAACAAAAAGGCATACTCCTACACCTGAAGACACCAACAGTGGAGATAAGAGTTCAATAGGGACAATATTGCCCCAGAGATGGCTAGTAGATCATCTATGCTGCAACTGTTGGTCGTGGCAATAGTCGTGGCGCAGTTTCTCGGGTCGGAAGCCGGCGGCATTTCCATCTACTGGGGTCAGAATGGTGGAGAGGGCACACTGGCTGCAACCTGCGCCACTGGCAACTACAAATTTGTCAACATCGCCTTCCTTTCCTCCTTCGGCAATGGCCAGCCGCCAGTCCTCAACCTGGCAGGCCACTGCGTCCCAACCAATGGCGGGTGCGCTAGTCTAAGTTCCGACGTCAAGTCATGCCAGAGCAACGGCGTCAAGGTCATGCTCTCCATCGGTGGCGGAGCAGGCGGTTACTACCTTTCCTCGTCCCAGGACGCTAAGAATGTCGCGACGTACCTATGGAACAACTTCTTAGGAGGTACGTCATCTTCGCGGCCTCTCGGTGATGCAGTCCTCGATGGCATCGACTTCGATATCGAGGGCGGTACACCCCTGCACTGGGACGATCTTGCAAGGTTCCTAAAAGGGTATAGCAACTCCGGCAGGAGAGTGTACTTGACTGCCGCGCCACAGTGCCCTTTCCCTGATGCATGGGTGGGAGGCGCCCTCAACACCGGTCTCTTTGACTATGTGTGGGTGCAGTTCTACAACAATGCTCCTTGCCAATATACTTCAGGAAGCACTTCCAATCTAGCTGATTCATGGAAGCAGTGGTTGACCGTTCCTGCAAAGCAGATCTTCCTTGGTCTACCGGCATCACCTGAGGCTGCTGGGAGCGGGTTCATCCCGGCTGATGACCTAAAGTCTGATGTTCTCCCATTGATCAAGAGTGCGGGGAAGTATGGTGGGATCATGTTGTGGTCCAAGTATTATGATGACCAGGATGGCTATAGCTCTTCGGTGAAGAATGATGTTTGAGAGGTTTGCCTTTCATCTGATCCATATGATTGGAACTTTCTTGTGTTGTGTGAGGATTTATTTTATTTCCCCTTGTGATTTTTAAGTTATTATGTGGTGCTGGATTGTCGTGTGTAATATAAATAAATTTTTACTTACTTCGATCTTTCATTCCATTATCTACTAGCATTTTCAAATGAGGAAATGTGGACTAATGATAATTAGTTCAACATGAAAAGCTTTGCATGTCATGGCTGGTTTTCATTTATATTAAATGGCGTTGGGTGCACAGAGAACAAATGCAAAGCCTCTTTTGAACAAAGCTGCAAAAAGCAAAGAAATATTGAAGAGGCAACACAACAAACCCAATCCCCACCCACGCCCATAAATAATAGAAAATTACTCACCCCATCCTATGGTGGGATCGACCAAAGTCAAAACACACTCCAAATCTAGAGCTGTTAAAATCTTAGAATGCTCAAATGAACAATGCTAAGGCTGCAAGGATCTCGGAAACAAACTCGCGTGCGTATGCGGATGAGGATGAAGTCAGGGATGCACGATTTTACCTGGGTTGGGTAAGAATCCTACTTATTTTCTTTGTCTTCCATTATGATCTTAATGCAAAAGTATGATGGTGGCTAACATGAGTGAAACTATAACAATCTAGATTCCTGCAATAGATCTACATATCTTGCCACAATGCCGATGCAAAGCGCTTCTCTGCATCCATCTACATCATGGTGTTATACTGGTGTTAAAATAGCTTGTTCTCCTGCTTCTACCTATGGGTCCTTATATGTAGGTGTTCTACTGTGGTATCCAAGATGAGGAACCTAGACCTAACTCCTACCGACAAAGGATTAAGGCATAACTTCCTTAATCTTGATGAATGTGCACTCAACCACGCAATCTTTCTTATCTGCTCCAGTTTCCATAAGCCACACATGTCGGAAGGGGAGGTTCCATAGTTGTTTAGGACTTGTACATGGATATGCCTTCCGTGGGTTTGATGTCTCATGTGTATAATCATATTTATAAAAAAACGAGTATATATGTTGATAGACCTCATGAGTAGCATTAGTTCTCGTTGAGGTGATTGGACGATCCGTTGTGGTGAAGGGCGTGTTGACACCATGACCATGGAGCACTGAGACAACCAGAATCATCATACATCCTCATCGTTGTCTCGACATCTCGCTTGTGCACCTCACAAAATCCCCTGCTACCCCTAATGAGTCCAAAATGCATCATATCATTTTGGCTCATTTGTTGCATAGCCTCATAGTAAAAACACCATATTATGTTCTACTAGCATGATGTCTGTGGATTGCTATGAAACTATAAAATACAAGGAGATAGGTCACTACCTTAAGAAGTCGTTAAAATATGTTCATACCCTATAACCTTTGCATGTGGTTCATGATTAAAAAAAGCAAAACATGCAATGCCAGATCTTGTTGCAGTCAATTGAGAATTTTAAATGGTCATAGTAGGTTCTTTACAAGACACAACATTTCATAAGTTGAAACATATGAGAATATGCATTAGTAAGTTGATTGGACAAGGCCGTGGACCGGGTAGGAGGACAAGCTCTAACCGATTACAATTTTTTCACTCTCTTGTTGTGTCATATAGAACTGGAAGAACTCAGTTGAGAAGAGAAACTAAAAATATTATTGTAGTTGTTTATTTGTGTTAGTTCACACATGTGAGTAAAAGTATATTTACTTATTTATCTTTCTTCGAAGATTGTTGGTCCCACATATAGGTAGGGATGTATTTGTTTATTGGTGAAGGTTGTTGGTCTCACATATAGGTATGAATCAATGGTTTTTGTCGAGCTTTGAGAACAATGGGATTACAGAAAAACGATCTTATTATTCAATGCTATGAGAAGTAGTGCTAGAGAATGTTACGGTTGTTGAAATATTGCTAAAGAATGTTGGCAAGATGGCGGGGTCATTATTTTCAAGGCTGAGGATAGAACGCATAGTCGGCATTCTTCCTCTTGAGAAGATCGTGGAAGGAAACTCTACTAGAAGGCAATCTCCGATCATATATAGGATGTCTTGCAAATTACATAGTGGGTGTTTTTTTTTTCTTATGTTTATTTATATGGTCAATGGTGCACTATCATGTGTGTGACATCGCATACAGTTTTGTAAGAACAATACACTCTTCCTGAAGGAAAAAAAAAGGTTCCTCGAGCCGTCCACGGTTGACAGTATGTGATATCTCCATAATATTACAGGCGACTTTTTAACCATATGGATATCTTCATATCACGTACCATAACTCTCAAAACCGTCTACGATATGTCTAGTGTCGTAGACAACTCACAAAAATATAATCGCAATTCACCCAAACATGGTTGACACAAAATTAAGAACCATACAATTGAACTATTCATCATACTCAAGCATCCAACACAAAACTGACCACTCTTTATAATGTGTGCATATGTACAAGGAACTAAGTTATTGTTGTTTATATTCCTGGAAGTAGAATTATTTAGCTAGGAAATTTGGAAATGGTTAGGCATGAAGATGAAGAAATATTTTTACAAAAATGAAACCAAATTTCAGTCTATCATCTTCATAATTGGCCTCATGGCAGTCATTTTCTCCATCATTTCGCACAATCTTAACGCCAAGGTCCAAAACACACTAGCACAGTAATACATAAAATACCCGAGAGGATTGTACTTGAAGACAACAACTTCACTAAGAAATAGGTGATCATTCAGGGATGCTATTTGGTCTAACCCAATAAAAAGTTTGTCTGTGGTTTATCACCCTCAAGCTAACACCTTCAAGAAGAATATCGTCGTCACATGTATGTTATAGCTAGATCACAAGTTTTCACCAGCAAAAGGACAAACTCATTTCTCAATTCGCCAAAGCCATCATCCACCATCTCTACCTTTCGGTGCTTGCTCACAGACAACACTATGCTAGATGGCTTCTTCCGCAAAAAGAAAAAACATTGTACCATGATCTCATACAAGAAAGAAATCTGGTTGCTCGCCCTGGAATCGGTGGATAGATTTTCTCAGAGGTAGGGAAGCCGACATAGTTGCCTCCTGAAGCCATCGAGCCTCTGTCCAATGTCAACAATTAATGCAAGCAAGACTTTCTCCCTCATCTTGTTTGCAAATGTCATTACATATCTGTATGATGTAATGAATTGTATAAAATGTGCATTTAGATGTACATGACTACTAGTACAATGATTGGACTTCTACTTTAGAAGAAACATAATTTTTTAAGAATATCAAACACCTCAGAAAATCATTTGAGTTTCAAGGTGCATTTGTTTTGTTTCTATCGATTTTTTTATGCTCAAGAACCTCCTCCAAAACCAAGGGGCTACTCGCCATGCTGTGCTTGTACCCGCTAGTATGCTAAGTAGTACTTCCTATGATGATGTAATAAATTTAAAACACACATCCTTAAGCCGACCTCAGTGTTGTTGTTACGCCAATGCCAATGTTGCGGTGACGGTCATCATATCCACGCTCTTGCACGGTTTTTCTTCGCATATCACATCTTGAGTGTCTCTATTGTTGGGGAACGTAGTAATTTCAAAAAAATTCCTACGCACACGCAAGATCATGATGATGCACAGCAATGAGAGGGGAGAGTGTTGTCTACGTACCCACGCAGACCGACTGCGGAAGCGTTGACACAACGTAGAGGAAGTAGTCGTACGTCTTCCCGATCCGACCGATCCAAGCACCGTTACTCCGGCACCTCCGAGTTCTTAGCACACGTACAGCTCGATGACGATCCCCGGGCTCCGATCCAGCAAAGCGTCGGGGAGGAGTTCCGTCAGCACGACGGCGTGGTGACGATCTTGATGTTCTACCAGATTTCACACGAAGAGTGCCCTCGTATATAAGCCAACCATCCCAGCACAAACTCACCACACGCAGCAAAACAAAAGCAATACTCCTACATCTGAATACATCAACAGTGGAGAGAAGAGTCCAATAGGAACAAATATTGCCCCAGAGATGGCTACTAGGTCATCTCTGCTGCAACTGTTGGTCGTGGCAGTAGCCGCGGCGCAGTTTCTCGGGTCGGAAGCCGGCGGCATTTCCATCTACTGGGGTCAGAATGGTGGAGAGGGCACGCTGGCTGCAACCTGCGCCACTGGCAACTACAAATTTTTCAACATCGCCTTCCTTTCCTCCTTCGGCAATGGCCAGCCGCCAGTCCTCAACCTGGCAGGCCACTGCGTCCCAACCAACGGCGGGTGCGCTAGTCTAAGTTCCGACGTCAAGTCATGCCAGAGCAACGGCGTCAAGGTCATGCTCTCCATCGGTGGCGGAGCAGGCGGTTACTACCTTTCCTCGTCCCAGGACGCTAAGAATGTCGCGACGTACCTGTGGAACAACTTCTTAGGAGGTACGTCATCTTCACGGCCTCTCGGTGATGCAGTCCTCGATGGCATCGACTTCGATATCGAGGGCGGTACACCCCTGCACTGGGACGATCTTGCAAGGTTCCTAAAAGGGTATAGCAACTCCGGTAGGAGAGTGTACTTGACTGCCGCGCCACAGTGCCCTTTCCCTGATGCATGGGTGGGAGGCGCCCTCAACACCGGTCTCTTTGACTATGTGTGGGTGCAGTTCTACAACAATGCTCCTTGCCAATATACTTCAGGAAGCACTTCCAATCTAGCTGATTCATGGAAGCAGTGGTTGACCGTTCCTGCAAAGCAGATCTTCCTTGGTCTCCCGGCATCACCTGAGGCTGCTGGGAGCGGGCTCATCCCGGCTGATGACCTAAAGTCTGATGTTCTCCCATTGATCAAGAGTGCGGGGAAGTATGGTGGGATCATGTTGTGGTCCAAGTATTATGATGACCAGGATGGCTATAGCTCTTCGGTGAAGAGTGATGTTTGAGAGGGTCGACTTTCATCTGATCCATATGATTGGCACGTCCTTGTGTTGTGTGAGGATTTATTTTATTTCCCCTTGTGATTTTTAAGTTATTATGTGGTGCCGGACTGTC